GGTGGGAAATTCTATTATGGCAATTGAAAGGTGGGGCCTTGAAGAAGTGATTAGATTCTAGGGCCATGCCATAAAGAATGGATTAAAAATGGTGGTCATGGGCATGGTTCTGAGAGCTTAGTAAGAGAGAGTGAATGAGGAGGTTAGTCTCTTGCTCTCTCTGATTCACCATTTTCTGCCATGTGAGACTCCTGTATTGCTGTAAAGTCACCACCAAGGAAAGTCCTCACCATAAGTGTTCCCTGGGCTTTGGACTTTTCAGACTCTGAAACTGTAAGAAATAAATTTTGTTTTCTTATAAATCACCTGGTTCCAGGTATTTTGTTATACGTGACAGAAACAAACTAATACAGTCTCCAAATAAACAACCTAACATTACACCTCAAGGAACTAGAAAACAAGAAGAAACCTAACTCAAAATTAGTAGAAGGAGAAAGGTAACAAAGATCTGGGCAGAGATAAATGGATTAGAGATTTAAAAATCGATACAAAAGATCGATGAAAGAAAGAGTTGGTTTTTTGAAAAGATAAACAAAATCTATGAACTTTTAGCTAGACTAACAAAGAAAAAAAGAAGACTCAAATAAATAAAATCAGAAATGAAAAAGGAGACAGAACTGGCACCACAGAAATACAAAAGATCATAAAAGACTACTACAAACAACTGTATGGGAAAAAACTGGATAACCTATAAGAAATGTATAAATTACTGGACACATACAACTTACACAGATTGAATCATGAAGAACTGGAAAACCTAAACAGACAAAAAATGAGTAATGAAATTGAAGCAGTACAAAAAAACTTCCCAACATGGGGCCGGCCCAGTGGCGCACTGCTACAGTGCGCTGCTTGGGAAGCGCGGCGGCGCTCCCGCCGAGGGTTCGGATCCCACATACAGACCGGTTCCCGCTCACTGGCTGAGCGAGGGGCGGGCGCAGCGCCGAGGGTTGCGATCCCATTGCCGGTCCCGGTCCGGTACGGGCGCGACACTGAGGGTTGCAGTCCATTGCCAGACACGAAAAAAGACAAAAAAAAAAAAAAAAAAACTTCCCAACAAAGAAAACCAGATGACTCCACTGCTGAATACCACCAAACCTTTAAAGAAGAACTAATACCAATTCTTTTCAAAGTCTTCCAGAAAATTGAAGAGGAGGGAATACTTCCAAACTCATTCCACAATGACAACATTATCCTCATACCTAAACTGGAAAAAGACACAACAGAAAAAGAAAACTACAGATCAATATCCCTAATGAACATAGATGTGAAAATCTTCAACAAAATACTAGCAAACTGAAACCAACAGCACATTAAAATGATCATTTATCATCATTGAGTGGGATTCATCCCATGGATGCAAGGATGTTGATATGCAAATCAACAAACATGATACATCACATCAACAGAATGAAAGAAAAAAATTATGTGATAATTTCAACAGATGTAGAAATAGCATTTGGTAAAATCCAACACTGCTTCATGATAAAGAAAAAAAAACACTCAACAAATTAGATATAGAGGGAATGTACCTTGCCTTGGGTTGAATATCCCACCAAAACTTAGTCCCCACTGTGACAGTGTAAAGAGGGTGGGAAGTCCTATTATGGTAATTGAAAGGTGGGTCCTTGAAGAGGTGATTAGACTGTAGGACCATGCCATAGTGAATGGATTAATAATGGTGGTCAGGAACATGATTCTGAGGGCTTTAAAAGAAGAGCACATGAGAAATTCTCTCTTTCTGCTTCCATCATCTTGCAAATGTGAGACCCCTGGGTCACATTGCCACCACCAGATGTGTTCTTTGGACATTGGAGTTCCAAGACTCAGAAACTGTAAGCAATAAATTCCATTTTCTTTATAAATCACTCAGTTCCAGTTATTTTGTTTTAAGCAACAGAAACAGACTAAGATATACCTCAACACAATATAGGCCATATGACAAACCCACAGCTAATATACTGAATGAACAAAAGTCAAGATTTGGAATAAGACAAGGATGCCCACTTTCCCCATTATTGAACATAGTACTGGAAGTTCTAGCCAGCACAATAAGGCAAGAAAAAGCAATAAAGGGCATTCAGATCAGAAAAGAGGAAGTCAAACTATCCCTGTTTGTAGATGACATGACCATATACATAGAAAACCCTACAGTTTCCACCAAAAAATTACTAGAACTAATAAATGAATTCAGTAAAGTGGCAGGGTACAGAATCAACACACAAAAATCAACAGTGTTCCTATACACCGATAACAAAATATCTGAAGAAGAAACCAAGAAAGTATTCCATTTGCAATAGCTACCAAAAAGAAAAAAAAGCAAAAGAAAAAGAAATACCTAGAAGTAAATTTAACCAAGGAGGTGAAAGACCTCACAATGAAAATTATAAAACATTGGTAAAAGAAATTGAAGAAAACACAAATGGAAAGATATCTCATGTTCATGGATTGGAAAAATTAATATCATCAAAATTTCCACATTACCCAAAGCAAGTTACACATCCAATGCAATCCCTATCAGAAAACCGACGACATTCTTCACAGAAATAGAAAAAATGGTCTTAAAATTTGCATGGAATCACAAACAACCCTGTACAGCCAAAGCAATCTTCAACAACAACAACAACAACAAAAACCAGGCTGGAGACATCACACTACCTGACTTCAAAATATACTATTTGTGGGCCGGCCCGGTGGCGCACTGGATAAGTGCGCCGCTTGGGAAGCGCGAGCCACGCTCCCAAGCAGCGCACTGTAGCAGTGCACCACTGGGCCGGCCCCCAGCAAGGGCTTTTGAGTTACCTAAAATAGTATGTATAATTGTGTTGGTTACAAATTAGAACACTCGCCATATTTTCCAAGTTTTCTTTCAAATGCCAGTATTTTAAATGTTTCCACACATTAAACTTTACATAGTTTTATGATTTTTTTTCCTTTGGATAATGAATCTTGGCTTTAAAAATATTCTTCAGACTATGGGGTATTTAACTGTCCTCTGTTAGAACAGCTTTTTTTAGTCTAAACTATTGCCTGATTTCTGGACTTCGTTAAACATTCTTACTACACCTACTTTTATATGGCTTAATGTATTCCTCTTTAACATGAAAACATTATTTGCTCAGAGGAGTTCTCATGAAAGTAGACTTTATATAAAATGCAGTATTAAGCTTTTAGTAGGAAATGGTCAAAGAAATAGAGAATATTAAAAAATGAGGTGTTCAAAGTAGAATGGTGGTTTAATTAGCTGGAGTACTTAAAAATGTCTGTTGACATAAAACTAACAAACATATTTAAATGTAGTTATTTAGTCACTTGGGTTTATCAGCTGAAACTTTATTATACAGAATAATCTATGGAAAAACTTTCTTTTTGTACATAGATGAAGTGATGGTCAGAAAATACACTTTCTCTAAGATCCCAATTGTGAAAATAGGTTATAGTTAAGCTTAATGAAAGGCAGTAACCATGCCAGCATTCCAAATACTGCAAATTCTTTTCCATAGGTAAATTTATAAATACCTTAGAATGCTTGCTGAAAGTCCAACCTGAACAGGGAAGTTCATATATGTTCATACACTGGGTTCTTTCTTGAGACATGTTCAATTATTAATGCCGGTGTCCCTTTTCAGACAAATCTCCCAAGGAGAAGATTGTTTGGTTCTCTTAGAATTCTCAACTTTATTAAGCTGCCATCTATAGTCAGAGGACATCTGGAAATGTTGGAATTAGCTTTTAAAGCAATGGCTGGGGTTACCATAGTCACTGTTACTCTGATAATCCAAACTTATTTATTAACCTAGGGACTTATCAAGGAAGTTAGAGGTTGGTGTTAATTAATCAGTGGTTGCCACCTGGATATTATTTCATGTTGAACTGACTTGTTTTTCTGAAACATATTTAACATATGTTAAGCCTGTATGGAATAAAGCTCACACAGTGTAGTTTAGCCAAAAATAACCTATTGGTTGGCCATTTTTAGAGTTTTCACTATTTCTATGAACGTTAGTGATGATGTGTTCAAGGATTTAATATGTGGCCTCTTTACAGTCACTGGAGGAATTGATTATTCAGTTTGTGAACAAACTGAACCCTTCTCTTGAGTATTTCCCTCATGGTTTCTGCTCCAGGCATTTTCCTGCCTGGGAAACTCAGGGTGGATGGATAAAAGGAAGTGAGATGAAATGAAAATTATGCCATATTTATTTACTTATTTATTTTTTATTATTGGTTCTGATAAAATATTTCTTTTTTTTTTTTTTTTTCCTTTTTGTCTCTTTTTTCGTGACCGGCAACGGATCGCAACCCTCAGTGTCGCACCTGTACCGGACCGGGACCAGCAACAGAATCGCAACCCTCGGTGTTGCGTCCGCACCTCGCTCAGCCAGTGAGCGGCCGGTCTGTATGTGCGATCCGAACCCTCGGCGGGAGCACCACCACGCTCCCAAGCGGTGCACTGTAGCAGTGCACCACCAGGCCGGCCCTGGTTCTGATAAAATATTTCTTAAGCATTTGAAGGCATTTCACTGAGGGTCATGGCTCATTTAAGGTTTTTTTTCCCCTTGTTTTTACCATTTCTCTACGTCACTGAAAGTGGATCTCAATGATCTCAAAATTAGTTTCTTAAATGTCAAGATAGATTATTATTTATGCATGCTTAAAGTATTTTTCAACTAAGTTTGTAAAGTACTTATATTTTTAAAAGTATACTCTTATTTTAAAATTATTTTTTAAAAATTTTATTTTTACTGATAAATAATATTTGTGTATCTTTATGGGGTACAATGTGATACTTGGACACATGTCTATCCTTTAAGCAATTTTGAAATATACAGTACACTATTATTAACTATAGTCACCTTGCTGTGAATAGATCACTAGAACTTAAAAGTATATCCTTAATATGGCATTTCATATTAATATCCATTTTTAATACCCTTTTTAAATCTTAAATTTATTGATAAGCGATTGTTAGCAGAATCTGCTAATTATCCCCAATATTTGTTCTTTCTGTTTTCCTTTTAGCGATAGAAGCCTCTGATTTCCAGCTGGGCCCATGACTCCTGAGCTAGAGACTACATTTTTCAGCCTTATTAGAGCTAGGTGTGGTTACATGTCTAAGTTTTTACTTCTGGAAAGTGAGTAGAAATTATAAATGCAGCTTCTGGGTCTTGCCTTAAAAAAATTGGGTATGTGGATCTCTCTGTTTGTTTCCATTCTCCTGCAGGCTGGTCCTTGACCATTGTGGCAGTGAATCAGCTTCTACCATGCAGATGAGGGCACTACTCTCGGGGATGTCTAAAAAACAAGATGGAAGGACTCTAGTCCCTGGATAACCCTATGGAGCAGGCTACCTTCCTATTCTGCTCCAATTTCAACTGCTTACCTCTGAATGTTACATAACAGAACAATAAACTTCTGCCTTATTTGAGCTACTGTATTTTGGGGTCTTTTGTTACATGAGATTATTGTATATCATAACTGATATAGATAGGATTTTAAGGGAAAAATTTTCCTGATGAGTTGGAGTTTCAAAGGAAGCTCTAGAGGCTGAGGCTTGTAGATGCTAAGTATCTGCATTCTAAACTTAAGCACTAGATCATCCATGCGAGGTTGACAATGGGGCTTCCAAAACTCAGTTCTGCTCTCATTAACCTATAACTCACTTCCATGCTATGGAAAAGACTGGAGATTCATTGGAGATTGAAAGATGGGGTCTATATTGATGATTTCTTGGGAGAGAGATGTCCGTGTTTTATGATAATTTCTCTCCCAACTTTTTTAAGGAGAGAAGAGTGGTGCTGGCCTCTACTTCAAGCCAAGTAATGGGGCCTTGGGGCCCCAAGTCTTAAGTCAAAAGGCTAGCTGAAAGAGCTAAATGGTGAAAAACAAAAGGAGAGGGTTGTCCTGAGATCAATCTGAGTTTCCAGAGTTTGGCTGGGAAAACCTCTACGAGGTTACACTCACTCGCTTGTTGCCCTCATACAACAAGTGAGTGAGAGTAAGGCTGTTATGAATGCCAGTATCATGCCAAAACTTTTTTTTGGTCACCACCTGTTGAGCCTGAGGCTTCTGGACAAATTCTACAACGTCACTTTATGGGTTATGCATTAGGTTCTAATAAGGACAGTAGAACTTATGAGGTGAATAAGTCAGAATCTAGTCAGGAGACAGGAACCATACTAATTATTTTAAGAGTAGTTTATGTAGTTATTACCAGGTTATTAGAAAACAGATATCCCCCTTTAAGTCTGTGGGTTAAAATGGTAAGAAGTCGGTTGATATTTTTAACTCTTGAAGGAGGGATCCTGATCTGGGACTCAGGCTCCTAATGGGGGTCATTGCCTCACTGGTGCTGCTGTTTCAAGAGTATGGGTACTGGGCTGAGAACTCTGGAGAGGGTTACCAGTCATTTGGTACTGGTATCTGTGAGGGACACAATGACAGTGGCTTTGGAGGTGCAAACCTGTTGCACCATATTGCTACTGTAGGATCAACTATTTCTGCGAGAGTCAAGCATCATTGCTGGGTGATGCTGATAGAAATAGCAAGTATACAGGAAGGAGCAAGTCATTTTCCTCCTATTTCTTTTCTTTAGTCTCCTGTGAATACTCCTATTGACAGAATACAGTAGTGTGCCCGGTATTCCAATTGGATAGGGTTCTGGTTGGAATGATCCTAGGTTAACATGTCTATCATGGGTTCCATATTTTGTCCTCAAGATTCACACATTTTAATCAGTCATTGAGGGAAAGTGTAATTCAGATGACTTTGTCTCCCAACTGCAGGGAATACATGAGAAATTTTCCAGGTTTGGGGGGTTTTTTGTTTATTTGTTTGTTTTTAAAGTCTTTCTAGGCTTGAGGTGAAGTGAAGGTAGCAACCCACACTACCCCTGGAGTGGGTTGCAATTATAGGACAGCTGTCTTCATGGAAATCCTCCTCACAAATACTTCTGATGTATTTCCCTTTTGTTCTACTTGATGTTTAATTTATAAAAGCAGTCAATCATATATTTTGTCTGGTTTTGTAATTGTTTACAGTGGAGGTTAAGTCCAATAGTCCTTACTGCACCATGACCAAAAGCCTCCAGCAAATACTTTCTATAATTATCTTTTTTTTCCCATTAAAATCTGAGTGCTAAATGGCTATGTAAAATCTTACAAAACTTTTTTCTTTCTTTTAAATGACTCTGCTTTTACAAGAGCTAGGAGAGGAGGGAACACTTCCCAAATCATTCTATGAAGCCAGTATTACTCTGATACTAAAATCAGACAAAGATATCACAAGAATAGAATACTATAGACCAATATCCCTATGAATATAGAGCTAAAAAATTCTCAGCAAAATTTTAGCAAACTGAATTTAGCAACATATAAAAAGAATTATACACTATGACAAACTGGGATTTATTCTAGCTATGCAACACTAATATCCCAGGAATGCAAGGTTGTGTCAACAATCAAAAACCAATCAATAAATTACAGGATAAAACCACATTAATAGATTAAAGCATTAAACCACATGATCATTTCTAAAGATGTAGAAGAAGCATTTAGAAAAAATCCAAAGTTTTCCATGATAAAAACACTGGAATACAAAGGGAACTTCCTCAACCTGATAAAGGTCATGTATGATAAACTGAAGACTGACATCTTACATAATGGTGAAAGACTGATAGATTTACCCCTGAGATTAGGAATAAGACAAAGATGTCCACTCTAGTAACTTCTCTTCTATAGTGTACTGAAGGATCATGCCAGAGCAATTACAGAAGTAAAAGAAATATAAGGCATCCAGATCAGAAAGGAAGAAGTAAAACTACCTCTATTCACAAATGACATGATCCTATATAGAGAAAATTCTAAGGAATGTGCACACACACACACACACACACACAAATTAGCAGTGCTAATAAACAAGTTCAGCAAGGTTGTGGGATACATGATCAATACGCAAGATTCAATTCTATTCTTCTGTTTTCTAGCAATAAATTATCCAAGAATGAATTTTATTCCATTTACAGTAGTATCAAAAAGGGTAAAATACTTAGGAATAAATTTAACAAAAGAAGTATGAGAGATGTATGGTGAAAAATGTAAAACATAATTGAAAAAATGATTAAAAAAAACTAAGTGGAAAGACATGGATTGGAAGACTTAAAATTGTTAAGATGGCAATACTCTCCAAATTGATCCACAGATTTACTGCAAAGCTATGAAAACTCCAGATGGCTCATTTGCTGGAATTGACAAGTTGGTCTTAAAATTCATATGGAAATGCAAGAGACTCAAAATAGTCAAAACAATCCTGAAAAAGTAAAACAAAGTTGCAGCACAGACACTTTCCAACTTCAAAACTTACTACAAAGCAATGGTAGTCAAAGCAGTGTGGTAGAGAGATTTCCGGTCAAGATGGCAGAATAGACAGTCCTCAGCATCACTTTCTCCCACAAATCAACCAATTTACAAGTACAAAAAAGAAAAGATAGCCAGGCTGTGGCTGCTAGAGCTCAGGGGAAGAGGAGGAGAGACCTACAGAGTACACGAAGTTGGGAGAAGCCATGATGAGAGAAAAAGAAAAAAACATTGACCATTTTGAGCCCTGGCTGCTTCCAGGTTGGAGGTACTGAATGCACTGAGCAGGAACTGGCAAAAGCCACAGCTGTGCCCTTTGGAGGAAGTTGCTTGGAGGCAGCAGGGGAGAAGAGGGCCTTGGTGGCCCCTAGGCTAGCAAGACCACTAATAGGGTTCCTGTGGATCCACATAGGAGCAAGGAGCCACAACAACTGAAAAAAGGAGCCACTCAGAGGCTGGTGAGTCATTGCAAAGGACTGGCACACAGCCCATCCCATGGGAGTGTTTGTAGCATGGGCAGTGGGGGAGACAGGCCCACTGGGAGAACACTGGGGCACAGCAAAGACAGTTGATCTGCACCCCAATCAGTGTAGGACCACTCAGAGGAGACTGGTCCAGAATATAGAATTGCACGGGGTGCAGTTTGATGAAAAGACTCAGGCCCAGACCCAAGTTTCTACACAACCCAAGTGCACTGGATTTCACTAGACCCAGAAGTACCTATAAAGTCAAACATTAAATCCTGAGCTGCACAAAAAGCCTTCCCTAGGGAATCGGCAGTAAGGCTGCAGTTTAGCTAAACCACACAGCTCAAGTACTGGTCCCCATAGGAAGTTCCCCCATTTTAGAAGTAAGCAAAGGACAACAAATTAGTTCCAGTGCAGAGTTTAAGTGGTGGGAACAGCAAATAATCCAACACAGAACTGAAAGAAAAAACAAAGTACCCACAACCCAAGACAAAGTTTGATATTAACTTGTAAAGGTCTCATTTCACCAAAGAACACCTATAACACGTAGAAGGACTAGAAGTCCCCTGAGCTACCAAGCCAAAAAGGGGGGGGGCCAGGGCCTCAGCAATGACCCCCAACACCTGTAACCAGCCCAGTGATGACCATCTAGCCACTGCATGAAGTGCCCTGGGCTCTCCCAAGCTTGGGTGGTGGGGGGCCAAGGGCCTCACCACACCCTGCTTGACACTCACAACCAGCCCAGTGGTGACCACTGAGCCACTGCAGGAAGCACCCTGGTTTTCCAGGCTGGGGTGGTGGCAGGCAAGGACTTTTGCCCCCCCCCCCCCGACATCTGCACCCAGCCCAGCAATGACCAAGCCACTGCTGGAAGCCCCTTGGTCTCCCCTGTGGGAATGAGGGGGGTGCCACAGGCCTCAACCCTACCCCTCCTCCTTCCTTCTTTTTCCATCACATTTCCTTCCCCTTTCCCCCCTCCCCCTCCCTTCCAACTGCTCTATAACATCCTAAAATGTAAAAAAATAATATATATAAAATTACATTTTCGGGCCGGCCCCGTGGCTCACTTAGGGGAGTGCAGTGCTGGTAGCGCTGAGGCCGTGGGTTTGGATCCTATATAGGGGTGGCTGGTGCAGTCACTGGCTGAGCGTGGTGCAGACAACACCATGCCAAGGGTTGTGATCCCCTTACAGGTTAAGAAAAAACAATTACATTTTCTTTAAAAAAAAAAAAAAAAGAGTGGTAATGGCTTAAGGGTAGATATATAGATCAATGTAGTAAAACTGAGAATCCAGAAATAAACCTTATATTTATGGTAAATTGATTTTCAACCAGGGTGCCAAGAAAATTTAATTGGGAAAGAATAGTTTTTTCAATAAGTGGTGCTGTGACAATTGAATATCCATATGCAAAAAACAAGTAAATTTGAGCCACTACCTCACATTATATGCAAAAGTTAACTCAAAATGGATGGAAGATCTAAATGTAAAAGCTCAAACTGTAAAATTCTTAGAAGAAAACATGGGCGTAAATCTTTGTGTCCTTGAGTTAGGCAATTGTTTCTTAGGTATGACACCAAAAGCATAAGTGTGAAAGGAAAAAAATAC